CACCTGGCTGCCTATGAATCTCTGTGGCTCATGAAGGTGGCTTTTTTTGTCTCCAGAAGCAATTTCTCCTTCTTCCGCTTCAGTCAAGACTGTCCCTTGTTGTGAGGGTTCTTTTTATCCAGTTTTCAGTTTTCTCTCCAGGGTAATAGTTCCAAACATTGTTGTAACCTGGTTGTGTTCGTGGGAGGAGGTTAATTCAGAATCTGCCTACACCACCATCTTGATGAGATCTCCTTTTTTTTTTTTCCTGTTTTTATTTTATCAGTGACAGGAACTAGGGATGCAGGAAAGCTGAACGTTAGTGCCCAACCTAATTATACTGTTATTTTAATCCCCTCAGAGCAGACCTTTTAGTAGACAAGGATTGTTCAGCCTAAGTGGGATATTCAGCTGTCATGTGGCATCAAGTGATCCTAGGTAAATTGTGTGCTCTTTGGCCAGTCACCCAGATTGCTCACCTTGAATAGTATGTGTTACTATTAGAGAAGAGAACTCTCCTGCTAATAAACCCAAGAGTGCAGCGTGGTGTCAGAGCAGTGCTGGTGGAGCCTTTAGTGCTAGGGCTTCTGGTCAAAGAGCTTGTTAGGTTGGCCTGGACAAATAAATTAGCAGCAAATTGGTTGTCATAATAGTGCTGCTTTCTGATTTTATGATCCATTTCATTGTAGTGCAGGGATAGCATTCCCAGCTTTATATAATTAGAAATAGTAACATAGTCTATTGTAAAAAAATACTGTACAATTGTTCCAGTTATCTACATAACAGACTACCCCAAAGCTTAGTGGCTTAAGACAACTATTTATTATATTTCATTCTTCTCTTGATAGAATGAGCTTAGTTGGACAGTTTTTACATAGGGTTTCTCATTCCGTTGCAGTCAGATGTTGGTAGGAGCTGTAGTCCTCTGAAGGCTCGACTAGACTAGGCATGGCATCTAAAATGGCTGGCTCACTCACTCAGCTGGGACTGCTTACTGGAGTGTCTCCTTGTGGCCTCTCCATGTAGCTTGGACTTTTCACAGCGTGGCAGCTGGATTCTGAGAGGGAACCTCCCAAGAGTATGTATTCCAAGAGGCAGGAAGCAGAAGCTGCCAGGCTAGTTAAGGGCTGTGCCTAGAACTAGCCTAGCTCACTGCTGTTGTGTTCTGTCAGTCAGAGCAGTCTCATGACCTGCCCAGATGCAAGGGTGTGAAGAAATAGACTCTACCTCATATTGGAGGAGTGTAAAGGTCACATTTTTGCAGAAGATCTCTTGGGGTGGAGATATTATAGTCATCTTTGGAAAATATAATCCTTTAGAAACTCTTGATTAAAAAAATAACTATATAGTGCCTTAAAAGATTATATTAGTATATTCTTGCATTGATATTGTATATATGTGTGTTGCATAGATATTGTGTGTGTGTGTGTGCATATATACACATACACATAAATATATATATACACACATACATATAAACATGATATTTCAGTATCAATTTCAATATATCAGACATACTTCAGTATACTTTGCTTAAAAAGAAACAACTGTACTTTATTTTAATTTTTTCAAATAATTTTATTGAGATCATAATGGTTTATAACATTGTGTAATTTCGAGTATACATTATTATTTATCAATTTCTGAATACACTTCATTGTGCTCAACCCCATTAGTCTTAATTTTTATCCATTACCATACATTTGTGCCCCTTTGTCCCTTTTGCCCAACCTCCAACCCCCTTCCCCTCTGGTAACTATTAATCTGTTCTATTTATCCATGTATTTTTTATCTTCCACATATGAGTGAAATCATGCAGTTTGTCTTTCTCTGTGTGGATTATTTTGCTTAACAACTGCACTTTTAATTAGTGTTCACAAATCTCAAAACCATCTGGCAGTTGAATCAACTTTCCCCTACCAATTTGCGTTACCACTCTCTGTGAAACTGTTTTACATATTCTCCTCTAGTCTCAAACCTCTAACACCCCCTCCCACCCCACTCACTCTGAGCTATGACCTTGCTTTTTATTTCTTTGAGAATAAAGCAGCCAGAGAAAAAATTTAGTTCTCCTATCACCAAACCTCTCAACTACTTGTGTTATTACCCGTATTCTATGCTTTTCCTCTCTGTGACAATAGGTAGAGTATCCAGCCTAAGCAAAACCTCCCCTCTTGCCCAGGACCCATCTCTTTTTGGCTACTCAAAGATTTAACACCTGCATCATCAAATTCTCCCTCTCTTCTAGATCATTCCCTTTAGCATACAAACAGCCTGAAATTTTGTCTCATCTTTAAAAACTTCCCCTTCATCACACAACTCCATTCTGCTGCGACATTTCTCTGCTGGAAATGCTGAAAATTCTCCAGAAGGGTTTTCTGTGCTCCGTCTCCATTCCCTCTTCTCCCATTGCTCTTGAACTCACTCCAACCATTCTATCAAAACTACCTTTGTAGAGGTCATTGATGGCCACTACAGTACCAGAGCCAGTGCCCAATTCTCAGTCTATATTTTATTTAACCTCTCAGTGCATTTGACAAAGTCCTCCTTAAAACCCTGTTTCCAATATTCTCCTGTTTTTCCTCTCACCTCACTGGTTACTCCTTACTTTCCTCTGCTAGATACTCTCACTTTTGTGACCTCTAACTCAATGTCAAACTTAACATGTGCAAATTGAACCTTGTTTCCCTCTTTCAGACATGCTCTCCAGGCCAGGAAAAAGAGTGATCATTTACTACATTCATATTCTACATCTATCAGCAGATCCTGACAGGTCTACATTCAAAACTTGTCAAAACTCCAAGCCCCCACATTTTTACCGTCACCATTCTTACCTTCATCCAGTCAGCCATCATCCTATGGGTTGTTGTAATAAATAGCCTCCTGACTGGAATTCCCACTTTTCTCTTTGTCTTTTTCTGGTTTATCCTCAACAGAGCTTCAGAGTGATACTTTCAAGACTTTAGTCATATTACACCACTCTTCTGCTCCAAATCACCAGTGGCTTCCCATCTTGCTTGGAATATAAACCAAACCTCTTAACATGGCTTACAAAGGCCCTGCCTAATCTGATCCCTGTTGCCTCTCTGACTGCATCTTCCTTGTTCACTTTGCTTCAGGTGTACTGACCTCTCTGTTCTCAATGAAAATGCTGAGTTCACTTCCACATCAGGGCATTTGCTCTTGCTGTTTCATATGCCTCTAAAACTTCCCCAGTTTTCCAAAATGGCTACGCCTTATTTCATTCAGGTTTCTATTTAAAGTTCAGCTCCCAAAGAAACTTTTCCCTGGCCACCCTACTGGAAGTGATAACCTTCTTCCACTCTCCAGCCAGTCCACCCTTAGCCACCCACTGTCCCTACTCTGCTTTAATTTTCCTTCGTAGAACTTATTGCTGCCATTGTATATTTGCCTGTGGTCTGTCTCTGCTCTCCAGAATAAAAGCACCATAAGAGGTAGGGATTTTTGATCACAACGAAGTGAAAGCACTCAGCAGGTGCTCCAGAAGCATTTGTTAATTGAGTGAGTGAATCAATGTTTGTGTATGTATGCAGTGGATTATTGTATATGGTTTGATGGGAAAAAAATAATTCTGACTTTCTATAACCTAGACAGGTGGCCCTGTTTTATCAAAAAGAAATGCATGTACTGGAAGCAAACACTACATTGCCTTTATTGCTTATCCTCAAGATCTCAATTTTCCAGATGATACAATTTGCTTAGGCTTGTTGCTTTTTGAGGTGGCAAGAATTTGTGAGTTCTGACCTTCTGCCTGCGTTGTGTACCATCAAGGTGCTTAAGTTTTCTTCATATGTTCATTGAGTGAAGACAGGGCAGCATGCTATTTGAAATGATGTAGTTAGAGTGGTTGATTTCTAAGATCTTCTAGTTAAAAATTTTTCTTTAAGATGGACCTTTAAAAGTCTAATGTCTATTAGATGGTTTTTAAGTAATATGGTGTTCTAAACATTTTACTCATAAGATCATTGCCACATAAAAACTGTTTCTACTGGTTTGTAATTTGCTTTATAATTAGTTTTATTTATAGCCGCTTAAATCAAGCTTATTTTGGCAAGCGTCTTTTTTAGGGGAAATCTCAGATAGAAACTTTACTAACACTGTGGTACAGGTTGATCTGCCTTTAAAAGCATTCTTTATAGATAAATTCTAAGAATTTTAATTATCATATAAATATATGCTTCTCTATAACAGAAACCTAAAATTCCAAAATCAAGATTTCACTTGTGAGCAAATAGGGCTTTAGTTTTTAAATCTATATTCTTAAGTAAATATTTTTGCTCAAGCTCCTACTGTCATGGCACTTACATTTCTTATTTGTAAGGTTAAAATCTCTATGATGTCCATAATTAAGCTTCTTAAGATGTTTCTACTTAACTCTTAAAAAGGAGACATTTTTTATTAAACTGAAAAGGTGGAAATCTGTGACACTAGGAACACCATTTATTTACAGAAAGCTAATTAAAGCTAGATAAGGCCTGGAAACCTGAAGTGAATATCACTCCAGAGACTGCAGCTTTGTGTTGAAACCTTAGTTCCTTCAAAATAGGGCAAGTGATTCTTTCTCTCTTTCCCTCAACTTGAGTATCCCTCTTGGGGAAACCAGAGATGTTACTGGATGGGTGAAATCTTTGTTGTTACATACAGAGTAACTTCTGTCAGGCAAAACAGCTCTAGGCTTCTGTGTAACGTTCCATTCTGATTAAGTTTAGTAACTTTGATTTACTGGAAAATGAATAGTCCAGGATGGAGTAAAAATAAACAAACAATACTTTGTATGATCCAGATCAATTATATTGCTTATTAGATGTCACTGTGTGGAGGTTTTTAGACATTAGGAACTAAGGGCTTTGTTTTAAGACTCTTAAATAAGCTCTTCTTTACATTGCCTAAGAGATTCAGAGAAATGAGCACTTTCCATATTTTAACTACTTCTTTCTCTTTTTTCATTCCCTTCCTGTATCCCTTTTTTATTTCATCCAATACCAAAAATGCCCTTCCAGAAACACAAAGTAGATCTTTTCTACAAGCTACGCCATGTGATGAATGAACTTATTGACCTTCGAAGGCAGCTACTGTCTGGTCACCTGACTCAGGATCAGGTGAGGGAGGTTAAGCGGCACATCACCGTACGCCTGGACTGGGGTAATGAGTAAGTATGAGTATCATTTGGGCATCTCTTAGTTTCATTTCTGATAACTCATTTCTCATAGATTTTGTACCTGATCAGAGGTTCTCTTTAATGATTAAAAGATGTTGTTATATTCTCCACTAAACTTTGATCATTTTTATTATAAGTAACTGTTTCTTTTAGTTTAGCAAAGGAGACTCACTGTTTCTACTCACAGAAACTCTCTCAGCCTCTATTTTCACTTCTGGAAAATTAAATAATTGGACTATATTATCCTCTGAGATCTCTTCTAGCGCAAATTCCTTGATTCTAGACCTCAGTAATCAGAATACATTTTTATTTCATCTTTTAGTACCTTTTTTTCCCACGTGAATTTGGTGTCCTTTACATTTTATAGCCATACAATGAATATGAATAAGCATATACTACAAATGGGAAACTGTCTACATCTGTACTTTAGGATATTCTTAACTAATTTGTCATTCAAAAATAGTCCTGTGTTATGCAGTGTGTATGATTATTTGCTATTGCCATAAAAGTAAAATTCTAAGACTTTGGCATGGAAAACTAGAGTAGATAGTTTTCTGATTTTATTTCTTTCTAGATTTAATATTGATATAATTTTCAGGAGCTGTTGTCATTCTCTTAAAATCGGGTACATTGAACTTTGAAGTGACCAGGTTGCTTCCTATTTAAGATACACACACACACACACACACACCCCTACACATACCTCAAGTGTATTTTAGTACAAGTCTTTAGCTCCTCTCCTTCTCAAGACATCGTTTAAATTATAGAAAATTTTAAAAAATGGGAGGGAGCCTAGCAATGATGGAGATAGATGAACCCATTTCTAGAACCTGGAAAGTAGATAACTAGTGACAGAGGATGCCCCAGTATATGTGAAGGAAACTTTAGCTAATTAACCAACTGGTCTGCCCTGCAGGTTCCAGAATCATGGAGGATGGGAGTGTGCCTTGAAACTTAACAAAGGGGAATTGCTTAAGTATATAAAAGGAATAATCTACCACCATGAGCAGAAAGCCTGGCAGCCAGGTGTTTCTCTTTCAGATAAACAAATACACAGAACAACTGCCTGGGGGGATACTGGGAAAGTTTGAACTGGGAGCTTATTGCAAAGCCCTTCATACTGTGGCATTTAAGGGTTTCAAAGTGTAATGACCAGATCACTTCCACATACTAGAAGGAGAAGCTTGCTAGTCACCCACCCATGTACAAAAAACTCCCCACACTTCTTCTAGTGCCTTTTAAACTTGAATGGACAATCAAATATCATCAGGTATTTGAAGAAATCCTTCCACAGGCAAGAGAGACCAGTATAAACAAAATAGCTTCCCCTAGAGGAAATAACCTGACCTCAGAGAGAACTAAAGAACTTTAAAAAAAAATCTCTGAGTATCCTCAAAGAGAATTAATATCCATTATGTAGAATGAAATGCTTTGAAAAAGTAATGGAGAACGTGATTTCCAAAATAAAGCATTCAGGAAGAAAACAGAAAGATAATTTTTATGTTATCTCTAGGGAAATAAAACAAAAAGATGGGAAATAGTTGAGGAAAGAAGAGCAATACAGAGGTTCAATCCAGGGGGTCCAATATCAGACATTATAATTTCTAGAAAAAGAACAAAGGCAGTAAAGAGGAAATTCTAAAGAAATGACAGAAAAGAATTTCCCAGAGCCAAAGAGCAGGAGCTTTAGGATAGAAAGAAACCACCAAATACCTAATATAATGAATGGGTCGGGGGGAGAAAACCACAGCAAGGCATGTTAGGATATTTCAGTATTCGAGGCATGAAGAGAAAATACTAAAAGGTTTTCAGACAGAAAAACAGGTCTTCTTACAAAAGAATAAGAATCACACCAGTCTCAAAAGTTTTATTAGTAACACTGGATGCTATTAATGAAGTAATATCTTCAAAATTCTGTAGGGGAATAATTTGCCAGCCAGAATTTTATAAACAACCAAATTATCTAATCAAGTGTAAGGGCCAAATAAAGCCATTTTAAAGTATTCAAGGATGCAGAAATTACCTTTCACAGCCCCTTTCTTAGAAGGGACTTGAGAATGTGTTCTTGTAGAAGTGGAAGAGAAAATCAGGAAAGAGGAAACACAGAATCTAATAAGCAGTGGATCCAACCAAGAGTGGTACTGTTCATCAGTAGAGAGGAAAAGTAAATTGGCTATTTGTGACCTTTTGAAGTGATAACATCCTATCTTTGTTTGTTTCATTAAATTACACCCTCTCTTGACTGTTAATAGGGTTGCTTGGCACACACCACAGACTTCATGTGTAATATTACATGGATTTAGGTGTACCATAGATAAGACAGTATTCTCTATATCTATCTTGGGACAATAAAAATCTTAGCAAAATAGAGTATGTTAACTTATAGCATAACTACTGATGCTGTCTCCTGGGTTTCAAACAGTACTATGTTATAAAATGGGATCATTTCATTTACTTAAAAAATCAATAATAGTAATAATTGCAAATATAACTTTACTATGTACCAAACAAATTGTTATACTTGAACTGAAGACACACAGTGGTATAAGTCATTAGGTTGCAGTTTAACTACAGCTATACATACCAGTAACTAAAGAAGAGAAATATTTTAGAAATATCAATACCTCTTTATAGTAAAACTTGGAAAACAGACCAATCAGATTTTGCAGTCAAATCTGAAAACATAAAGATGATAGCTTGAAAACAAGTTCAAATTATATTTGAAAAAGTCAAAGACCATTATAAATACCTGCCAGTAAATTAAACAGCTATTCCACCTTCATTAATAAATTTTTCTCAACAAGAGTGTGTGTGTGTGCGGGTGTGTGTGTGTGTGTCGGGAGGAGCAGTTATATGTCCATTTTAATAAATAAAAATTAGGAACATAGTTTCATGCCCCTCCCCAACTTTCCTTCTCCTTCCCCTCTCCCTTGTTCCCCTCATCCCTTCTGTGTATCTTCTTCCTTCCTTTCTCCCTCCCCTTACACTTCTTTCCTTCCTCTTTTCCTCTTCTTTCCATGTTCCCCTTTTCCCACAGGTGGAAAATATAATCACCTAAAACCTTAAATGAGAACTTTGTAGGTCTGTCATTATTAATGAAAAAAGACATATTGTCCCCAAAACTGATAAGACTCTTCTATCTGGTTCTCACTTGAACTAACTTTTTAAAAAATTTTCCTTCTTACATTGAAAGAAGAGATGGTATACTGCAAAAAATAGTCATTTCATACCGTTAGGTTACATAAAGGAGACTGTTCCATGCAACACCTGAACACTGATAAACATATCCATTGTTCCTATTTTATGCCCTGATAGTTCCACACTTCTTGTTCCACCCCACTTTTATAAATGCCATAAAATATTGAAGCTTAGCATATGTTTGCAAGTGGTGAATGTGCAGTGTTTGCTAAATGTATTTTTACATTTTGACTGATATAATTAATATTAATTATATATCATTTTAAACTTTTATGCCTTTTCTGTAAGCTCTTACACAGACATTATAGCTCTGCCTTTTCAGAACCTATTTCAGAAGTTACTAATAACAGCTTTTAATAGTTTATTCAGTACCTCTACCTGTATATTACTGTAGCAAGTGCATATTCTAACTTATATGCACTGTTACAATGAAATGCTATTGTGCTCTTCCTAGACAGGAGCTCCATTTTACCTAACGAGGAAGCTGAGGCTCAGAAGTACTTTTTCCAGCGTTGCATAGTGAGTGGTAGAGCTGCTGTTTGCACCCCGAACTGATCTCAGATACTTATATATGATCTCAGATACTTATACTTTATGTAGAACCTGACCATCTATCTGATTTTTTTTTTTGACGAAGATTAGCCCCGAGCTGACACCTACTACCAATCCTCCTCTTTTTGCTGAGGAAGACTGGCCCTGAGCTAATATCCATGCCCATCTTCCTCTACTTTATATGTGGGACACCTGCCACAGCATGGCTTGACAAGTAGTGTGTAGATTTGCACCTGAACTGGCGAACCCCAGGCTGCTGAAGCGGAACATGTGAACTTAAGTGCTGCTCTATGAGACTGGCTCCCCCCCCCATCAGATTATTTTTAAGTGTGAGTCTTAAAACCAGATAAATTATTGCCAGTATTTCTAGTCCGTGAGTTATTTCGTCTTTGTTCTATTCTCTTAGAGTGAATACTGTGTGTCCCATCTGATTTAGCACTGAGTTAGAACTTCCAAGGATAGAAACTAAACTTTTAGAGTTTGCATTAAATGCAGAGCTCTACATATGTACATAACAATAATTTTTATTTTGTTTCCCGAGATTAGAAATTATTATTTATCTGGCCAAAAATTGGAAGAGTCTGGGATTAAATTTATGTGGCTTAAACTTGGCCTGTTTGCATATGTGTACACTCATTTCATAAGTGAAAATTATTAAAATAATATCAGGTAGAAATCAGCACTTACTATGTTCCTAAAATTTTAGAAACTTAAGATACAAGAAGGGCATGAGCAAAGTTGTGTTCAAATTAACTAGCCATTATCTCTGCTCGGGTCTCCTGTTCAAAGAATAATATTATCAGTTAATTACATCCTCTTCAAGAGAATTTTAAATAATTTGTCTAGCAATGTAATTTTAATGGGTTGATTTAATATTTTCAACATCTTCTCTAAAGATGTTAAAAATTTCTTCTCAGTCTCTAACCACATCGCTATAGTAAATATAGCATAGCTAAGTTAAAATTGCATTAGCCTAGGACTGACACAACCTAATTGATTTTTGCCTTAGAAAAATATCTAAGTAAGAAATATTTTATTTCTGGAATAATTTATAGGATTTTTGTATTTCTCCTATAGGTAGAAAGTACAGAGTTGAATAAAATGTAAACATTTTATAAGCTTTTGTTGAATTAGAATTATGTTTCTATAGATTATAAATATCAAATGAAATAATTGGTATCTTTTTATTGTGCAGTCACAATGTTTAAAACAAATCATCAATAAATATGTAATTCTAGTTTTTTTGTTCTTTCCATCTCCCTCCATCATATTCTTTCCCTGCTTCCCCTCTCTTTTGTACCTTCTCTCTCAGATTTTCATATATCCTAACCAACCCTTATCGCTTTCTTCCTGCTTAGTTTATGTCCCTCGCCAAGGAATTGCTCTTGGAGGAAGCAACACAAGCAGTAGTTTGGGTTGTAGTATGCAGAAAATTCTGCCACCCTACCCCTCATCCCAACAAGTTTCCTCTGAGTAGATTTTTAGCTAGGACTCAGAAAAATTTATGGCTCACTACTTTCCCTTTAAGGGCATGGTGATATTTTCCAGCTTCAGGATATCTGAAAGTAGCAGAAGTCTCCAAAGACTTTTTAGAGTTGTTCTTATACAGGGTGTTGTGCCCATCAATCAGTATCTTGCCCTACTGAAGAAGTCTGAGATAACTGTTTTAAAGTGTGTGTGTGTCAGAATCCTTCTGTCAAGTTATCATGTTCAAATGATTACCTTACACACACACACAGACACTCACTCACTCTGCATCTGTTTTGCCTACTGTCATACCCTGCACTTAGCACAACACCTGCACTTGGTAGGCACTATGCAAATGTATCTAAGTAATAAAAGGGGTTTGTTCTTATACCTGGTGGCTACTCTTTCACCAATCTGTGTTTGTTTCCTTCTAGATTGATGTATTGACACAGAATCATTCCTCAAAATATTATGACTTAATTGATCACAATCACTTGCAGCCATTAGTACTTAACTTTCATAGTTATTGGTAGAAAGGCAGCAGGTGTAGTGGAAATACTGTAGATTCAGAGTAAGACAGATCTAGCTTGAGACAAACGCAACTCTGCTCCCTTAATTAGGCCACCTAGTTAACCTCTCTGGGCTTCAGTTTCCTCAATTATGAAATGGGTCTAATACTGTCTACTTCCCTAATGCTTAGAGATGATATACATAGAATGCCTATTCCAAGTAAATGTTTGGTAAAGGGTAGCTATTACTAATTATATTTTATTATATTTTTATTATATAAATATAAAATATACCATGCTTTTGTTAGTGTAGTTATCTGTATGCTGTCTTTACTATAAGTATTAGAAAAGGACACTGCCCACAGGAAATCTTAGTATATCCAGCCTTTCTCAATGATTCTGGAGGAGAACTAAGTCCTAATGTCTTAAAACATCCATTGTATGTAATTAATTAATTTCAAATTATTTTCTCTGTTCTGTGGTTCAGATAAGGAACCCTAGAAGAAAAAGATACAAATAGAACATAGAATAGAATATAGAATATTCAAAAGAAATGTAAAATTCAAAGAATTTGATATAGAGATTCTGGGCCCTTACAGAGGTACACCTGAAAGAACGTAGGACCAGGAGTATGTCTCTTATTCACTGCTTTGTCCCTAAGTTTAACACAAGAGCCTGGAATAAATATTTATGGAATTACTGGAATGGATGGATGAATGGTCAATGGCAGGTGGTGAGAGGAGACTAAATATTTTTGTAAAGCTTGTTCAACTAAGACCGATTTTGAAAACTCAGCTCTGTACTACATCTGTATGTAGCTGTACATAGATGTATGCCTCCTGCTTGTGTCTAGCTGTTTGAGTCTTTTTTTCAGACACTATAGCTGTTTGATCACCATCCCTATACTTTAAGCCATATTTGACTAATGGCATAATACATAATGATAATAATTATAACAGCAGTAGCAGTTCACAATGCCAGGCAGTATTTTGAGTGCTTTACATGGGTGAATCCTTACAACAGCCTATGATAGTAGCTGAGACAATGTGACTTGATGAAAGAGCCAATATACAAACCAGGCAATCTGTCATCAGGTGTCATGCTCCTATTAGACCCATGCTCCTAACTGCTGTGCTGCACTGCCTCCCTTTGCTGTGAAGATAGGAAAGAGACTAAGTTGACCATTCCCTGCGCTTACTGTTCACTATTCTTAGAGTAAACCATAGGAAGAAATAGCCAGGAACCTCTTTTTCAGAGTTGAAATTTGTAGTGAACTTGTCTTGCTTCTCACTGTGCATCTCTACCTTCTCCCAATGAGGACAATCCTCCAATTTAACTTTTGAAAACTACTCTTCCTTCATAGAGACAGTCTTAGTAGAAGGAACTCAGTCTTCAGTTTTGTCAGATCACCCATTAATCATTTTCTTATTTCTTGAGATAACGAAATCAAGAAACTAAAAGATACTGTGCTCTAGCAATGTCTAGGAGAGGGAAAACACTCTGCTCTCAGGGGAGAATTGGCGGGATGAATACGAACATTTGCTTGACTCAAAACTGCTGTATTCCCTGTATCCAGCACCCTTGGTGGTACATGACAGGTCCTAGAGAGTTTCTGTGGTGTGAGTGGATGGGTATATGTTTAGATAGTTGAATGGACAAGCAAAAAAAGCAAAGGGTGTCATAGTGCTGAGAGAGAGTTTGGCTAGATGCCAGTCTCCAGAAAGGTCCATCACTATGTGTGGCACACTGCCATAGAGCACATACACTCAATCCTGGCCTTATTGAGTTAGATTCATCTGGATTTTTTTCTTAAACTGTTGCACTGAAAAAAATCTAGTTTTATTGGGTTATTTACACAGTCCTTTTTGTTACTTAATTGTAATATTTAGACTATCTTATATATTTTTTGACTACCAGTGGTTAAAGAATATGTATGAAATTTTGTCTCTTCATTTTTGTATTTAAAAAAATTTCAATAGAATGGCTACAGAAAACTTGGAAAATTTTTTAAATGATTAGTTGTGTAATTCCATTTCCCTAATACAAATACTAATATCATTTTTGTGATCTTTCTACTGTTTTTCCACATGCATATAAAAGCATTTTAAATGTTCAAGATCATATATGCAAAATTAGCTTTATAATGTAAATTGCTTTTTATGACAAGAGAGGTAGAAAAGATGTAATTCAGCTCTTTCTTAGCTCTCCGTGACACTACTCCTTTACGTGCTGTGTTAGAAGCCAGAGGCCTGAAATGATTTCAGAGAAATTAAGAATAGCTAATAAGAGGTGACTAAAAGGAGTATTTCTTTGACATGGGAAGACAGTATCCCAGTGGAAGAAAAATAAAATCTCTTGTAGATTTAAGTGCATTAACTTCAATAATCAGATTCAATGGCATAGTTTTACCATCAAACTGTAAATTCTTGTAATTAAGGCCAAGAGTATATTACTGATTTCATCATGCAAAACGGTAAGATTTTTTTTTCCCAGCATTTATTACCAAAAAATTATTTCATCTTCAAAAACTCATTTTTTTATTAAAGGATAATGCAAGTTAAAATAATAGATAATAGAAAACCATGGGTTTTTATCCTTTAAAAGAAAAAATAGGTTTCTCCTCTTTTCTTTGTGTGCTAAAAAGAACACATCTAAATTTTAATTCTTAATCATAGTAATCATATTAGCCACATGATTAGTATATTTGCTTCTACCTTCTTCATATAGGTTTGATTTTCCATTTTTACTTTAGCAGTCTTATTGCAATTTCTTTAACCTCTTCGTATCTTTTCTATAAATAGGGTGCAAATTATAAAGAAAATAAAATCTGCATTTTGGATATACACATGGCTTTATTTTAAGTGAGTGGGAGTTTTATGCACAGAAAGAGCCTACAGATTTAGTTATGCTAGCATATTCTAAAAGTACTTCATAGTCTAGTTGAAGAGAAAAAAAATGTATACTTCTCCTTCCATTGTCTATGGAATACTTTTGCCAGATGCAGTAATTCATAACCTTTGTTTTGGAGTAGGGTGATCACAGAGCAGTTCTGAAACTCTGATGAGAGTTATAGACCCCCCCCACAGAAAAAAATCATAAGTGAACATACACATATACTGCTGTAAGCAGTTTCAGGGGTCCACAACCTCCTAACTCCACTGGACTCCAGATTTAGAGCTGTTGTTATAAAGAGTGAGAAAGGAGCTAACATTTATTGAATATAAATCATGTACCATATTTAAACCCAAGAGTTCTGACTGTCCAGAGTTATTTCCACTCCCTTATACTGCCTCCCAATCAAACATTAATCACCATCACTTATTTCTTCCTGCCCAGGTTATACTAGATCTTCTAAATACTGTTTTCTTTAGCATTAGTGCTTCTTGGTTAAACTTCCATCTAAAGTTTCTTAAGATATTGGATAATGTGTGGTGAGTTCTTTACTATAACCCAATTCAGTATTAATTGAGAATGAGATAAAACTCAACCAAAACATACATTTCTTTGAGTTTAATATCTTCAGGAGGTGATTTTTATGTGTTTGACTTTGGATTACAAATGTATTTGGACCCTGAATAATTTTTTCATCCTAATGAAAGTAATGCATGACTGAACCTTGAACATTCTTGTAGGATAGAGAGAAATAGAAAAATAAACATGACTTATTAATGATCTATAGAAAACCCATCCTTAATGAATTCAAACATTCTGTTATAAACATGATACTGAATGAATCCTTCCCCCCCCCCCTTTTTTTTATTCAGGTCACTTTGGTTTGTAACATTATATAAATTTCAAATGTACATCATTATATTTTGACTTCTATTAGACTGCATCGTGTTTGCCAGCAAAAGTCCAGTTGCCATCCATCACCATACACATCTGCCCCTTTACTCTCCCCTCTCTTTCTCTCTGGTACCTGTCAATCTGTTCTCCATATCTATATGTTTGTTTATCTTGAATGAATCTTTTTACCATCACAAGGGGGAACTGCTTGATGACTGAAACTATCACAGCCTTAAAATCCCTAGCCTCACTTATTTACCTAAAGATGAGCACAATTAGGTGTTACTGGATAAAAGAATGTCCCTGCTGGGGCAGTGTTTGAACCTTTGTCCACAGGGTCGTGGCAGGTATAGTCTCCCAGGCACATGAAGAGAGATGAGTAGTCTGAGAACACAGCATGCTGAGTGTGGTCTTTCTCTTTACTAGGCATTTGGGCCTGGACCTGGTACCTCGAAAGGACTTTGAAGTGGTGGATTCGGACCAGATTAGTGTCTCAGATCTCTATAAAATGGTAAGAAATGTAACACAGGGTAGCTTGTTCCTGTACACTTCATTTTTGCTTCTTTGTTTATTATCCCTAATTATGTTATGAAACAATATTGCTAAAATTGTTCCTTTGTGTTTGTCCCAATGTATTTAAGGGGTCTTCCTTATTCTGACAGTTGCTATTACACTTGCTTTGTAACTGTAGTTACTGTGTAGAACTGCTGGGCTTACTGTAATGTCTACAGGTCATTTCTCTGTTGGTTTTGCTGGTAAACAAAGCTTCTTCAGCCTGCAGCAGTAACTAAAATTCTGTAGCTCCCCACGTCTTAAGAAGACAAGGTAGTTGAAGCTGAAAATAACCAGTTATTGGTTAATGTAGTGATTAAACCTGGAAATAATGTACCAGTATTTCTAAGAGAGACAGAACCTTATAAAAATGTATTGAGTTGACTAATGACCAACATTACACTTTACAGGTTAAATGAGAAGAAGTAATTAAAAGAAAGGTACAAAATTTTAAACTAAAACAAATAAACATCGGAAACCTCAGGTGACTGTTAAGCTTAGAGTAAGGGAATGAGTAAAACCTAATTTTGAGGAGTATATATTTAGGTCTATATATATTGGTGAGAATTACAAGTTTTAGAAAGAATTACAAGTTTCTCTTTAAGAAAATGTAATTTTTTAGGGAACATAGAAGATATAAAGTGTTTTACCTGGTCGAGGACCTTAGGAGATTTGCCTAAATAATATACAAATAACATATCAGTTGCTTCTGTATATTTGCTTATGTCTATTTGCTAATGTACAAAGCATTTGTGTATAGTTGCCTTAACTATGCTGTCTACAATGTGATAAAAGTGTGAGACATAGAGATTAAAGGTGAACAAGACTTATCCCTTCCCTCAAGAATATCATCATTGAGCATATTGGTTCTTAACACTTTCTGGGTCATGGAGGATCAGACGAAATTTCTTCTCAGTTCAATGCAAGTGGTTTTGCATACAAAGTTTTACACTCATTTTAGGGAATTGATGGCCAGTTCCTTCCAATGCTTGCCCCTGAAGCCCATAAATGGTTCACATGTTTAGAAACTACTCTAGTGAGGTCAGGTAGACCACAAACAAACAATTGCAGTTTATGTGTTGCATGCCATAATTAAGAGATACACTCATATTGTCAGAGGGAGTGACTGATTTCCTGGGCCTAGGAAAAATCAGTGAAAGCTTCAAGAGGCAATAATACTTAAGGTGAGTCTTGAAAGATGAGCAGCACTTCACCAGGAACACAAACAAGAAGGAAAGACATTCCAAGATGGCACACAGCATAGGAAAAGTGGTAGTTCCAGGAAACTGTAAGATATTTGGTAACTTAGGCATGCTGGTATATGTTAGTGATTGGGAGATAAGACCAAGAAGTAGGCAAGAGACAGATCATGAAGAGCTTTGTAAGCCCCAAATTGAAGTCTGTCCAGTAGTCTGATAGAAGCATGAGAGTGACATGATCGAATATGGGTTTCAAATGCTGATTCTGTCTATAGAGAGTATAAAATGCAGAAAACTGGAATCAGAGAGGAAGGAGACCATGGAAGTGATTCAGGCAAGAAATAATAGGTAGGCAGTAATAGGAATGGAAGAAATGCAATAGAGAATGTAGATCTTATTAAGTAAAAAGGATGAATTTTGATGATCAATTACATGTGGAAAGTGAGGGAGAATGGGAGTTTGAGGCTAAGAACTCCCCTCAGAATGGTGGCTTGGAGGATGCTATTTTTGGTAAACATTTTGAGTTTTATTCTAAAGTGTGACAGAAGGCTTGTGAAGGTATTTCAACAGGGGAATCACATCTTCTGGCTTACATTTTAAAAAAATCCCTCCAGCTGATAAGTGCAGAAGGACTGGAGTGGGGCAAGAATGGAAGCAGGGAGCAATCATTCAAGCAAAAGAGTTTAATTTCAGTATCTTGGGCTAAAGTTTGAACAATGGAAGTTGTAAGAAGTTGTTGGATTCTGAATATGTGTTGTAGATAGAGCCAGTCAGAGCTGTTGATAGGTTGAATTGGTACGTGTATGTACAAAAAAAGAAAGGCCAGAGAAGAATGACTCCTGTGTTTTGACCTGCCCAACTTTGACCTGGGTAAAAGTAGGATAGGAAACATTATGGGAGAAGCAGATTTGGGAGTTAGGGATCAATAGTTCTGGTTTTTCTTTTCAAGTCAGGAATGCCTTTTAGACCTCCAAACTGAAATGTTGAAAGTCAGAAGTGAAGTTCAGATGTAAATATTTTAGAATCATCAGAGTATATGAGGTATTTAGAGCTGTTGGATGAGATGACTACTCTCTTTCCTAAACCTCCATACTGTGAAACCCAGCACTTCCAGACAGCCAAGCATCAATAGACATTGGAGAAAACCTCCCACATGAAAGTTAGAGACCAAAACAAATACATATGAAAGGAACAAACTCAGCAAAGAAAAATGGTGATTCCTGTCCTCAAAGAGAAATGAGGAAAACAACCAGGAAATAGAGTGGAGCACTCTGAGAAGCAATCCAAGGAGTGCTAGAAAATTACAAATGAGATAACTGGAATAAAGTTGGTATAAAGATTAGAAGATAAAGTAGAGAAAATCTCCCTGAAAACAGGATGACAACAAAATAAATGAACAATTGGAGTGAGGTGTTACAAAATTAGAGGTTCAATACAGGAGGTCCAATATCCACATAATGGAGTTTCAGAAGAAAGAATAGAGGGAAAGAAGAAGGAAAGTTACTTAAAAAAATCACTTAAAAAATTTTCCCAGGGTTGTGATACCACCAAGATGGAGAAGTAGGAGAACCCATCCTCTGTTCCTCCACAAAAATCAACAATTAGCCAGCTATCCGTGAACAAAAATAGCTCTGGGAGAGCTCAGTAGAAATCTTCCACTTAAGAAGCTTCAGCAACACAGTGGAGCAAAACCCTGAGAATAACCATACAAAAAGGGTAAAAAGAACAGTTTCATTTTGCCTGCATCATCCCCTATTTCCAGGCTGGCACTGCCAGCACCAAGAAGGAATTCCCTGGCCTGAAAGAGTTCCCCTCTCCAGGAAAAGGAGAGCAGAGTAAACAACCAGCTTCCTCAGGCCTGCAGGGCACTGGAAAAAGGACCTGCTTCAGTTTTACCCCACCTAGAGACTGGCAAAGCTGAAACATCTAGAGATAGCTAGGAACAAGGGAGAAGGGCAGGGGTTACCAGTATCGGATATGCAGCAAGAGCCACCATGGATCCCAGTGGCCTGCTTGGCATGGGATCCCAGCAGCATTTGTTGCTGAGGACCTCAATAACCCTTGAAGACACTGCAGACACCATTAGCTTTTGTCACCGAGGACCTCATCATGGACTCCAACAGACAGCTCCACAGAGAACCCCCACATCTTTCATCACTGAAGAAACCAATGGCCAGCACAACAACCATAGAACCCTTGCAGATTTTGCTCGTAAAGTTTTCACCCCACAGGTAGTGGTGTTCACAGATGCCAGCCACCTAAGTTCCCCTGTTCCTTCCCCACCCCTTGCCAGAGAATGAGATATGCAACAGCAGCCAGCCCCAGCCTCTGCGGTAGTGTGCATGTAAAATGCCAGCCTAGGGGCCTATCACTGACCCTCACTACTGTGCATGTGCTCATGTCTAGCTCCTGCAGCTGTGCACCCACGCACCACGAGCCTGACTCCTATCACTGACCTCCACTGCCATGCCTTCAACCATGGTGAGCCCCAGTAGCCACAGGAGTGTACATTAACAGCCATGGCCCCCACAGCTGTTTGTTGGCCCAGATCTAGCCTTGACTCTTGTCACTGGCCTGCATCGCTGGGCTCATCTAAAGCAACTGTGCATCTCCACAGTGCCAGCGTGAATCCCAGCCCAGCCTCCACTGCCATAAATGCACTGATGGCTAGCCTTTACAGCTGCATGAATGCATGCCTACAGCCAAGGCCCCTGCAGTTGCTAGTGCATCTGCAGTTGGCACCAGCACTCCTGCTGGTTCTGGCCCTTGCTGTTGTTACCTGTTTGCAGCTTCACCGTGCCACTCTGCAGGCACCTGCAGATGGCCCCTGCAGCTGAGCATGTACACACCACCAGCTCTGGCCACCACTGCTGCCTGCCCTGGTCCCTAGCTGCTGCGTCTAGAAGAACCACCAAGGACCCTAGCATCCCTTGCAGCCACTGTGGACCCTCTACAGCTCTCCCCAAGGATCATGTAGTTGTTGATGTTGTGGACCCATGTGGCCTGAGCTAATGAGACAACCGTGTACCTCTGGACCCAGAGCTGCCATATAACCCACACTTGGCACCTTGCACCACTAGACACAAAGTCACAGCATGCTCTAGCATGTCTCCTTTCAGAGGTGAAGGTCTTTCCTTACTGAAGTTAGTCCATAAAGTCTGGAAGAAGTGACTGCTCTTCAAATGTACAGACAACTTAGCAAGGCTACAGGGATGACATGATCTTATGTGTAGAAAATCCTGAAGACTCCATCAAAAAACTGTTAGAATTAATAAATTCAACAAAGTTTCAGGATACAAAATCAACATACAAAAATCATTTGTAAAAATCAGAATATACTAACAGCAAACTATCTGAAAAAGAAATAAAGAAAACGACCCCTTTTACAATAGCATCAAAAACAATAGAATACTTAGGAATAAACTTAGCCAATGAAGGGAAGATCTGTACACTTAAAACTGTGAGACGTTGGTGAAAGAAATTAAAGAAGACACAAATAAATGGAAAGATATCCCATGTTAATGAATTGGAAAAGTTAATATTATTGAAATGTCCATACTACCCAAAGTCATCTGTAGATTCAGTGCAATCCCTATCAAAATTCCAAGGGCGTTTTCCGCAGAAATAGAAAAAATAACCCTAAAATTTGTGTGGAACCATGATAAACCCTGAATAGCCTGAATAGTTCTTGAGAAAGAACAAAGCTAGAGGCATCACACTTCCTGATTTCCAACCGTATTACTAATCTCTACTAATCAAA